ATCATGCTCGTTTGCGTACTCCTTGACTAGATGGTAGTCCACCCCGCTCCACAAGATATGTTGATTACGCTGCCATTTCTCTCCCGAGAATTGATCGAGTATGTCGCTAGTTTGCCTAAGAGTTAGATACTGCGGGCAAACATGTTACGGCCAGCTAACTGACAGTGGGTTTGTGTTAACAGTAAGCCAGGGATTGACAACAGTAACAGTCGTTCTGGGGTCTGGTCGATTGAATCGTAGATCTTCAAAGGTCTTGGTGATCAGTCAAGGCCTCAACAAGAGTCGTAGAGTAGTCGTCACTTAGGTATAGCTGAAAGTACCGGTTAGGGTAATCACAAAGTTGATTGCTGAAGAACTAGGAAAGGTAGGACTCGAGAGGACTCGAGTCCCAACTATATACAAGTCTGGTTCCATGCTGAACACTTCCTGATCCTGGGGGACCGACACCCAGGACGTCGGTCCATCGCCATGGACCGCCCTTGGCACCGTCGGTCCTGTCCCAGGACCGCTTATCGTCCGTCGGTCCTGCTTATCGTCACGTGACCTGTATCCTAGTTCTTCCGTTCCGTGGGGGTTGTTACGACGTAACGGCTGACGGCCGTCCCTATAACCGCTGGGAACAAAAAAAACATCAACAACAGCGAGAACGAAATTTTTGAAAATCGGAGCAAAAACGGCCCCAAATACGCGTGCTCGCGGCCACAGAGCCCCCTTCGATGCAATGCCATCCTCGGCCTTGATTCTACGTCCCAAAGGGGCCCAAGATGGCCGCAGAGCACGCCCCGACTACAATGAAAAACTTGAGAGCAAGCCGCAAAATACGACATATCAATAGACAACACTATTACCACCACCACAAGCGAGCCACAAGCCGCTACACGAAGCACTAAGACTGCGCCCAAACAATCAACTTCAACACAACAGCCGCCGACAGGTTTTGGGTCACCTGTCACCCCCGACAAAGTTTGCAACGTCCCACAACGACGAAGATGAGTCCGACAGAACAGTATCACCTTCCGCACGGAGAAAGCACCAGGCATTAGGCATGCTACGATCGATGCCACACAATACTACAGACCACAGACAGACTGGTCCCCTGTCGCCCCTTTTGCGAAGAAGGATTGGTGTCCCTTCAACGCGCGACAATGTCTGCGGAATCTGTGCGGGAGCTCTCATACCCAGTAATCGAACATGTCGGAGTCAGTGGAGCATTGTGCTTCGTGGAAGACCCTTGGGCCAATGTGGTGGAGGGCAATAGTGGTCAACAGGCAAGAAACAAGAGGCCACATAGGAACCCGGCAGGAGGCAACAAAGAATTTACAGATGCAACTGAGAAAACGGCACATACAAGTCCGGGAGGATACGGACAAAACAAAGAGACAAAGCTGAGCGCTGGGGGGAGACTGTAGGTACAAAGAACCAGATACGGTGCTACCAGCACCAACTGAACCGAAGCAGGAGGACGCAAAACAAGCATTCTAGAGAGCAACACAAAAGCGAGAAAGCAGACAGGAGAGCAACACACTTCTTCAACAGAGGGCACAAACACACAGAATAGAGAACATAGTGGGGAGCTTGGGGATAGCTGGCCCTGATGCAACATCAGGGCGAAGTGGGGCGTCGCTGTTCATTGTCGACGCTTCGGCTACCTGCCAAACCCCGCTTTCCGGGCATAGCTGCTGGCATAAGAGCGGCTTCATAACCGAGTAGGAATAAATCAATCAATCAATCAACCTATAACCGCTGAGCCCCTGCGGGGTCGTCGTCAGTGGTCTGTTAACTGTCGGGTCGTAACAAAACAGTACAGATGATCGCGTGAAAGTTCATTATATCTTGACTGGCCCAGCCTTTCGGCCAGTATACAATTCCTGATGATTTTATGGTATCCATGTTGTGTACGAAGCTGAAGTCATCTCGGAGACCTATGGCCAAAGGAAGAGAAAGCATACTCTTATCAAATGATTTCAGTAGGTTAGTTCCGCTGTAGTCCGTCTCGAAATTCCTTTAAGTATTCTTCTTAACCCCCCCCCCCTTGAGATTAAACTCAGCTAGGTTATCAGGGAATCGTGCAATTGGTGAAACTTTAAACAGGACCTGCAGGAACAACCGAAAGGCAATCTTACTGCCGAGAAACCTTACACAGCCTCAGGTTCAGGTTAGACAGTAGGCTAACTTCAGGGTTTGAAATGCGGGAAGTAAGCTATATAGACTCTGCCAATCATAAAAAATTCAGAGATGTCTTCGAGGGAGTCGTGATAGCTTCTTTAACACCGTCACGTAGTTGTGATGTTTTATGACTTTCCAGAGAAATCTTACGTCAGGGGTTTAATCTGGGTTTGTTTCGGGTCAAAAGCAACAAGCTTCTTAAGCCAGGCGTTAAGCCTTAACTAGGGCAACTACCATTTCAGGTCTGCTAATCGACATGTATCAGTCAGTAAGTCATAGGCTTACACATACTCACGTGTGTGATTTATTCTTAAATGTTAGTCTTCTCGTGTACGTCACTTGCAGAATTCAAACGAGCAACTTGGACACAGATCTACTAGTCACTTAATACATCAAAGCTATTATTAATACGAAGCGATTTTAAGGAGTCACGGGTTCATTGTTACCAATATTTCACCTTGGACCTTCCTGTACGAGCAGGTAGGGGACTGCCGAGCAAGCCACCCTTTTAAGTAGTCAAGAAGACGACCTTCATGATTAATAACTTGGCCTGAAATAATATGTCATGATAAATGGTACGAAAGAAAGGATATATTCACATTCTTAGGAGGCTCCAACCGGGTTAATCTGAGGGGTGCATTAGAATTATGCGACCAGTACACCGACTAGTTTCCAACACTATAGCTGAAAGAAAAGTTTTATCCCAGCCATGTAAACGCCTTACTCCATGGTAAGAACCATTACATTGAAGAATAAATAGATTCTTTGAATCCAAAATTGGGCTGACATCTCGCTACTTGGAATAAAACGGCCCAAAGCTAACACATCTGTTATAAAAATAGAAAAAGTTTCGAGCGTATGTAGTTTTCATATTCCACCACTGTTTGGCTGAAGATCTGAAGCTGTTTGCTGTTTCTTAGGTGAAGCATGTTATGGAAGAAAGACACCCGTATCCTGGCTAATTGATCATGTCAAGTAGATATAGATTTCTACCTTTATTAACTCATCCAAATCTGCCGGTCGATTTGTTTTATGATCTGGAAAGAGCGAGCCGATGAGTCGATCTAGCAACTCAGTAATACGAGGGTCACTGTTGTGGGCAATGACTCACTCGCCTTGGAAGCTTTCGTTAATATCGCGTGACTTTAAGAGACTGAATTTGCAACTATTGCGAGCATGCCGCAGACAGTTGTCTTTGCGTGGGAAACTTCGTTTACAGCCGCGGTTGGGGCATGGATGATATTCATCCTGAGCCGGCTTGATATGTTTGATGCGGTGCTTTCGAAGATCCTTTGGCAAGTTGCACGAGTAGTCACAGCCGAAGTGTGGACAACCGTATTTTTGGCGTGGTCGAATGGGTGCTGGAGACTCAGATTTAGGTGTCGATACGATTGTTGACGTGGGTGTTAAAGTTGGCTGCTGTGTGGGTGGGATTTCGTGAGAATATGAGCCATTGGAAGTCATATTGGCGTCATTATGCGTGTGATGAGTGAAGATAAGTCTTTGGAGGTTGAAATCTAAAGTATGATGGAATGCATTGAGGTTGGTTTCCGGTTGGGTGCTGCTAAAATCGACTGACTCCCAGGGGAGTGAAGTTGCCGAGAAAATATTATCTCTTGCACCACTAATGACATTCGAGACGGGCAAGCTATGGGCGTCGCCAGAATTATTGACTTCAAATGAGTGACCCCAATATTGACTTAAAGGATTGCAGAAATCGTCCGTCAAATTCCTAAAATCCCATAATTCATCTAGGATCAACTGTTCGTATGATGGTTCTTGTGGCAATGGCTCGGTAGCATTACCAAAGTCGATCGACTCCAGTGGGGAGATGATTCCAGACCATGACCTTCGGGAATCGATTTGGGCGCCTCAAGTGGCCGCCGTCTTTTATAGGGACGGCGGCCCCTATTTTTACTGCGGGTTGGGGAGCTTCCGTATAGGATTCGAATAATATGTTCGAGCCAGATGAAAACAAGATGGACAAAGACAAAAAGCTGATACTGAAGCCTTTCGTAGACAGTGGCGACCCACTCTGATGTGACAGCACCGTCCATGCCTTCGGAGCGAAGGGAAGCTGACCACAGGCAGAAAGCAGGTCCTGAGGCAAGGTGTGGTATTCAACTTGGTCAAATACTAAATGCGGAATCTTGGCAGCTGCCGCTACGTGTCACCTGTTCTCATGCAGACGTGACTCCTTTGACTTGTTGCTGATGAGTCCTCTGTGTAGCCAATAGAAAATCACAAGACGGGAGAAGAATCATGCCGAAGAGTCCTGGATGCCAATTGCTGCAATCTTATCCAACACAAAGCCTGCCAGCACATGTCGATCGGTCCGAGACCTTCCGCTGACAGGACGCATTACCGAGCAAGCTATCGTTACAGCCTTAGCAAGATTGGGACACGGCTTACTTACACTCTGCCTGCTTAACAAATGCGATTAGAGACGTCAGTTGAAGATAGTAACTACACTGTTGCGAAGCACAATGCGTTTAATCGCCATCTGCATCCAGAGGAGATTGTGCCTTAGTTCCTTGAAGCATTTCCGATCCGAATTGTGTAATTGAAAGGGTGTCAAAGACCTCCTAAATCAGTGCCAAGAAGGTTGGGCAGTATCTGGGTAAATCTAGCCTGATGAGGAAAATCACGCCTAAAATTTCGTAATAAAGCAGTCAGCACATTCAATTCAAGAAAAAATGCTGCATTAAATGAGTCTCTGAACGCGATAATATTAGCTTAGGATCTTACTATCCATAACGCTTCTCATTCTGTTTCTTTCTTGGAGACCTTAAACCATGAAATAACTCCCCATTCCGCAGCTACCTACATGTATACTAGGTAGCGATATTCAACACATCATCATACCCGCTTTCAGCAAGCCATTCTCTAACAAGAGTATCCGTATACTGATCTGTCGTGCTATCATCAAATAGAAAAGCAAGTGCGTTTGGCTCGTTCCCAGCCCCTACCTGGCTGATGTTCTCTAAAGGACTAGCGACACCGGGAACAATGGAAGGTTCGTCGTTGCCGGAACCCAGCTGACGAAGGTCCAAATCGTTTCCTGCGATTCTCTCGCCCATAGTCGCTTCTCCGGCGGTCTGGTGCCCCATGCCGCGGCTTTCGGCGGTTTGCGGAGGAGACCTACAGTATTGAAGTTGTGATACATCTTCGCAGTCATACCATTCGCGCGCCAATAACTGTATTGCTCGCAGCGCTCGATCGCTCCAGGCACACCAAGCCGTTCTGAGATCTCGTAACGCGTCGATGCATATTTGCAAGTGATGTATCGCAAGTTGCCTCTTCGGGTTCGAGGGTCGAGCGTCGATGAGGTGGATAATGACGGCCGAGAAGCATAAGTGAACAGCGGCAATAGGTATACGGCGCTGCTCATGATTCCATGGTTAGGATTTGCTCATCCAATGTGTGCTTCGAGGGTACCACACTTAAGGTGTCACCGAGGCAGAGGGGAACTCACAAGAGAGTACTGTTGCTTGTATATCCGCAATAATCTTGCGATTTCTGCGGCTGAATGACGACATGCCTCCATGTGTTTGTTGGCGTATTCGTCGTTGTCATCGGCGGTGTCGCTGGGAGATACACCCTCACTTAATGCAGACCTAGCTTTCTTCTTCCTCAGGAGAGGTCTGTGCAGAAGAATGAGATGGGCGTGGTATTGTATACTGTTTTCGCAGCGCAAGTCAGCTATCTGAACGGTAATCCTGGCATGAGTTTGCGTGCTTCTTACTGGAACAAACAAATATGAGGAAGCATTGGTACTTTTGGCGATGACGGCAAGCGGAGGTAGCTTGGCAATGCGCGATAATGTGATCGCAATTCTACGTCTGTTTTGCTGACGATGTCTTCGATTTCCCGCGTTGACAAATTGCTGTTGATAGCATATCTACAAGGAGTTAACTTTGCAAACATTAAGTTGTAGCAGGAGACATAATACATCATGTCCATCGCTTCACAAGCAATGGTGTAGGTTTCGCACACATGATGTGCCGTTGATGAAATGTGGGAGTGGACGCCCAGGGAGTAATCAGCCTCATCAGATGTTGGCTTCCAAGGCGTAAACTCTTCTGCATTGTCAATGCTAGGTTTCTGACAAGTAATGCTTGCTTTCGGTGTACTGCTTGGCCGACCTAGACCGAGTGAAAAGAGTCTAGGGGCCTTGTTAGCACTCGGTTTGAGCTGCAACACATCGTAGTTGGGATAATGGGCTACAGTATCTTACTTGTCAACAACATAGCATCCCCACCACGTAACCTTTCTCGTCTCAGCTTCATCTTCTGACAGTAATCCTGAAGCGACCCATTTCGAGCAATCCAGGTTCAGGCCAAGATTGTGTGCCATTCTGGTTGCGTTTCCTGGAACTCGTAAGTCATCGATGTGCTCTGCGTATTTGCGCGCAACATACCAGAATACAACCAGCCTAAAGCCTCTTGGCCGTCTGTCATGATGCGAAGAGCCAGAATACACGCAGCCTGAACAGTGGTAATGGTAGGGGCCTCGCTTTCATAGAGCAGCAGAACTTTGGCGTGTTCACAGAAAGCATCCCCCGCAGTGTTTGGGTCATTTATGTCGGACCGGAGTTCTGGGCGATCCGAGTACCGCGCAGCCATAGCAAAGATTGCTGAAAGCAAAAGAGGGGAGCAGTACTTCCCGGCATCTTCGCCTCTGAAGCTCCTCAGAAATGTTTCCTTGTGAATTACATAGTTCCAGGGGTTCTGCCATCGCCAGTAAAGTTCGAGTAAATGATTTTGAAGATCATCGGTGACAGTAACAAATTTTCCGAGTTGCGCCGCAGCAGCCATACCTTGTCGTTGCATCCGACGTGAGGGTTCGTGAGGCGCGGCCTCACGCAGAGGTTCGCGAACGAGGTTGTACGAACTCTGTGATCCGAAGTAATGAACCTGGCCATCATCTATCACGTTGAGACGACCAACTAGACCAGTAAGTTCGGAAAGGGGGTCTTGTTCTTCGTCGGCACCATCATCCTCAGGCTCAGGTTCGTCTGGTTCCTCCGCTTGTGGATCGAGAATACCAGCCGATGGTTGGGAGCCAAGTGATACCACTTGGGCCTCAAGAAGACGTATCCTCTCCTGTAGGGATTCGACATATTTTTTGCTTGGCGGCCTGAGGAATGGGAATTAACAATTGCCACCAGGTGTGTATGCTGCTAAGCCTGCGGGATTTGAACGTCGAATGGAGCTAACCAACCTTCGTTTGTTTTCCGAGTGTTGATACTCACACTGAATACCTCTCTTTACGCAGGACCCGCATACTGGTTGAACTCCATCACACTGACGCCAAGAGATACTTTTAGCAACCCGGCCTGAATCCCCCGGAAATGGGAGAAGCTCTGGCGAGCGGTGGGGTAATCACTTACGCGCATTCGTCTCCGCCGGCATGCAAGGCAGGCAATCGAGACCCGCTGCCTCTTCTTCTCCTCAGATTGTGGCATGGCTTTCAACTATCACGCCCTTAATTGAGGCTTAACTGCTGAGTCAAGAAGGCGAGGGTATTGGGTGGCAATGGAAGCTTCACCGAGGTGTAGAAAGTAAGTTCAGATGATAAAATGGTGTGTGGAAACCCAACCTAAGGACACACAATTACCTGAAACCCCCCGCTACCCTAACCGCCTCAAGGGATTGATTGATTGATCCGTGCACATTGATCTTCCCCGCATATCCACTAGGATCCTATGAATTGTCACAAACTTAAATTAGAACAGCTTTATCAGCCATCGCCACCAATCCCAATCTCTGCTTTCATGTCCTACTACCATACTTGCTTCTTTCAAGGGTCAGCCGCAAAGTGAACAGGTCGAGCAGGGTGCCTGTTGACCCGAAGGCTGAGCTGATCAGGTCGACAGTAGTGTCCCACGATGTCCAGGTTCTGCTTCGCCTTTGCCTTCTCAGCAAGGTCGACTTCGGCGTATAATATGCCCTCCTCATTAGGAGGAAGACGCGTAGCCAGCTCATGACCCCAAGGCGAATATATCATGCTGAAACCTCCGCCATGGGATGGATCGTTATTGGCGTATTCGAAGTCCTCGAGTCTACACCGCTTTTTGGACTCCTCACTGCAGATTTGTGTGCAAACCATAACAAAACACGCACCCTCAAGAGCCAAAATCTGGGAAAAACGCAGGCTCATCTCATCTGTGATATGGCCGGGCCAATTGGGGTCTGGTTTACCGTTCTTATCCTTTGGATGGGCCCAGATGACTGGCCAACTGGCGACGTGCAGGTCGACATTCTGCTCGTACTCGTAGTAGCGCAGCATTGTCTGTGTGTGCTCCCAACAGTTGAGGCCACCGATCCTGACGTCGGGATATGACGTGCTGGCAACGACTGTCTGGAGAGATTCTCCCTGGCCATCGCCCCAATATGCGCGCTCGACATGAGTAGGCTTGATTTTGCGCCGGTGGTGAACGATGACGCCATTCTCGTCGATAAAAGACTAGTGAAATTGTAAGCATCATGCACGGTATGCAAGGGGAAAGGAGTCGCGGAAATACCTGCGCGATATATAAGGTGTTTCTGTATCTTTCACTGTAGCCAAGCACGACAAAAACACCAGCCTCCTTGACAGCGGCGCAAATGCGCTTCATCTCATCAGAGTCTTTTACAAGGGAGTTGCGGAAATATTCATCCATGAATTGGACGTTATCAGTCGGGGATTTAGCCCATATGCTCCTTTCCCGGCGTATGTTAAAACAATTGCTAACAAGCTTGCAGCGCACAAAGTTCAAGGTATTGAGCCAAGACTTACCATGGATATCCGGGAATGAAGACTTCAGGGAAGCCCACAACATTGGCACCTTCGCTAGCAGCCTTCTCGATCAGTGCGATGGACTTGTTGACGCCTCCTTCAAGGTCTTGCCAAACAGGCTCGGCTTGAATAGCGGCAATTTTGAGTTTTGGAGCCATGACTAGTTGCGCAAAATGGGAATTTATTGGGGTTTCTGGCACTTTGGGGCGTATTGACAGGTATGATGATTCTTGAGAATCTGTAACGGCTTCGTCTGATGTTGAACTCATTGGGAACAATAGGTTACTTATCTGCCACGGATTTGTCGGCTCTTTGCTGCTTATATGCATCAAGAGACCAAAGGAGTTGTCTTATACGACACCGGAACAGCATTATCCTCCCCTGCAACTGTCAGGCTTCCCCGCGTATCACCCCCGTTCCGGCGGCGTGGAAAGCAGCTCATCTGATCTTACCGGTTAACCATTACCCTATGCAAGACATGGGAGATCCGTGAGGAATAAGGAAAGCGCTAAACTGAAACCCCTGGTCACTGCCTTCGCCGGTACAGCTAAATCTGGGCAGAGCATGCAAGGACGTCGTACATATTGACCGGGGTTGGCGCCGGCTAAGCATTACCCTATCGGCCCCGCCAACTCGGGCGTCTAGCCCCGCGCGGGGAACTTATCGCGAACCTTGATTTGCCGCAAGATACGGCCAGATCTGTAAGTCTTGGTGTAAATGTATTGGTTCGTTGTGGCTTTGTTTTGATGGAGTAACAGATTGTCACTTGCATGGACTGATTACAAGGCTTGGTAAAGTCGGCAGTTGGTCAGATTTCTTGATAGTGAGATGGGCATATAAATCAGGATCTTCGGGTAAAGGGTACAGAACGAGTCGGTAGCTATGTTGGAGGGCAGGAATGTTTATAGCAATCTTCACACATTTTTGCTAAATCTAGAATAAATAACCGTGATTTTACTTGCCGATCTCAAATTCGGATGCTTCACCACCGTTAATAATGGCACTTTAAGCACCAATGGCTGGCCATCCCTATCTAGTCATCTCAGAATTGTTGGTTGGAAAATAATATCAGCAACCAGTAACGGATGTGGAATTACTTGTCACCCTGTTTCTCTTGACTCCACTGACCATATAATGCGTTTCTGTCAAGCATACTGACTTCATAACTGAGATTCTCCAATTCGCAGTTATAGGCTTAAAGCTAGCTCCACTCAAATTAGCCATGCTGACGTGCATTGTGGTACCTATGCATCATACTCATGTTACATATCGCAAATCCCATGGCAGAATCAGACAGAGCAGCAAAGCCTTGGCTACCTACTTCACCATTCTAAGCAGTAAAAAGGCATTTTTAGAACCACCAAAAAAACATAGGCAATTTTTCCAAAAACATCGTGCTCGCCGGCTCCCTACTATAAATGACGATGGTCGTGACTTTATCCCAATCAATACTTGGCACTTAGCCACAATTTGCATACAAAAATGATTTCCGCCAATTTGGCAACTGCCCGCCCATCTGGTGAACTGCTTGTAAAACTGTTGAACCAATGGTGATTGGCGTTCCAATTGAAGGAAACGGAATGTAGTGTGGTTAGGTATGGACAGGACTCCTAATGAGTCCTATCGGGCCCCTTTTTTTAAAGAGGACTCCGCGTAAGCATCACGGAGTCAATTCTGGCCGCTCCCATCAGCCTTTTTGGGATGCACAAATGTCATAAATAAAAAGCAACAAAACTTGCTCGATTTTAAGCCAGCACAAATCAAAACATCTTTCAATTTAAATCTCATTTGAATAGTCGACTTGAAAGCGCCAGCCCTCAGATTTGCTGTTTTTCTAGTCCTTAAGAGTCTGCTATCATCCCGAAGGGAAATCCTATTTGCTTTCAGTGTACTGTACGCAGCTACTACTCAAAACCTCCGGCGTTTACCTCTCACATCAAAATGGCATCTTTTGACTCCATGCTGCCTGAGACTGGCACCCAGTCTTCACTTCAGTAAGCCTCTCAAAGTTATGAAACATGTATAACCTCCCCACATCAAGCCGTCTACTGAGACTCGGCATGTTGCAAGGATAAGCTAGTTGACCAAAAACGCCTACAGGAACCCACCTGAGAAGCATGAGCACTCAGTGGAGCCTTCTACAACTGTCCGCCTAAGCTCAACCATGAAATCTGCTTGCTTGGAGACCATCCGTCGTCAAGCATCTGGCGTTGAAACCCTCGACAAGACAATGGAGCGCTACTTTAACTCCGATCTACCATGGTCACACATTAGCAGCACCACTATTATTGGAGGACCTAGAAAATTAACTGACAATAGCTGCAAGAAAGCTTGAGATTTGAGATTGTGGCATATCTTGACAATACTTCAATCAATTGGACGATGCTAAAAGGCTCAACAAGCAAGTTGTTCACAAGTATGATGAACTAAGCAGACAAGCAGTAATCGGGCGGTACGTGATGTGAAAGAGCGACTGAACTTAGGGAAAGAGAATACAAATAGAAGAGCGCATAAGAAAAAGTCGATGGTGTACGCTTCAGAGGAATTACATACTTAATGTGCATGTTCGCGTCCTGGGTGCTGCATTTATGTACCTAAACCACGCCGTTATTTAAACAGCTTTAGGAGTGCTAAGCCCCAAATCCAGTACAATATTGATCAAACAACCACGGCGTTGTGCTTGTCCTAATCAATTAGGGTCCTGATGAGGAGAAAATTAGGCACCGGCGTGGATAAACGGTGCCCATACAAGAGGTTCTTGACCCAGGCGGACGGTTTGCGTAGCATAGCGTAATGCTTCCGCGACAGCTCGATTTGTAACATTTTTCCGTCCATCTCTCCGCCCATATTGCGACAACGTGTGTGTTAACTGCCCGAAACTAGAAATCTGTTGGTCCTGTTGGTTGGCATCCGACAAAATAGCGCAGTCATTTCTCCCACTTAGAGACACTGATTATTTGAGACGGAGGGTGCAGCCCATGGCAAAAATCAGGTCTCAAATCCTTCTTCACGAGCCGTCAAGCTATTAGCGATGTCGTCAACGAAACGCGCCCTTTTAATCGCCAGCCCCTTTCAAGGTCTCCGCGGCCCGATGGACGATGTCAAGATCATGGCATCGGTTCTCAGTAAGCAGGGATTCGAAACTTCAAGATGCTGTGGCGATAAAGCCACCCGTGAGGGCATCCTGAAGGCATGGCACCGTATCATAAATGCCATTTCCCCTAACGATACCGTGGTCGTTTACTACTCGGGTCACGGCGTGATCGTTTAGGACAAAGCGAGGAGGCCGACGGACGAGAACGAGCATACTTACCCCCAGAAACGTCCATGGCGCTATCAGTTTCTTGTGCCTGTTGATTTTCATGCCAGCACATACTCCACCGAATCGGATGCAGCGTCCTCTTTCACCGGCACTCTCGACGTAGAACTGACGTACCTGCTCGGCGCCATCACCGACCGCGGCCGCAAGGTCACCGCCATCTTCGACTGTTGTCACTCGGGCCGTATGGCCCGCGACCCATCCGATGATGAATCAATGCCTCGCAACCTACCCAAGGTACAGTATGCCAACGTGTGACGACACATCGCCCAACTACGTGCCATGGGGCAGCTTCCAACTCAAACACGGGCAAATGCTGAAGGCAACCAGCATGCCGTGCGCATTGGCGCTGCCACCAGCACGGAGATAGCGTGGGAGCATAGTAGGAGCGGTCAGTGGGCTGGGATACTAACGCAGACACTAGCAAAAGTATTGCAGGAGACGTGGATAAATGGTGGTGACAACAACTCCGTTTCGTGGCGGACGATACTGCTCGTGTGCAGGAAATGGTCCACATCAACTTACCCCTACAGAATCCAAATGCAGAGGGCCCAGATACACGCCTACTCTTCTCACTCGAGAAAGCGGTGACGGGTACGGTCGTGCTGAACTTACTTACAAATGTTGCCCCTGCTCTAGTCTTTTATCAGCCGTGCATGCAAGAAGTTACTGCCTGCTCGGGCAGAGTGAAAAGATGATCCAACCGGCGTCTTTCCGTTGTGGACACGGAGTGAAGGTTTCGGCGTTATATCCATCTTCAAGGGGCCCCAGAAAGAGCTTTACATCGAGAACGATCGAATTCCGCTGGGCGCCACGGCTTACTTTTCGAACAAGTCTGGAATCGTAGACTATGAAAGGAAATAGATGATGGAATGAGTAATTCGTAATGACTCAGATAGTGTCTGTGTTCCAGTCCTCAGACTATCACCACAAAGTGTTGCAGAAGACATTTATTGTTGTAATGCGAATACCAGCTTGTGTGGTTAGCCGGCCGGCTAACCCAGGAGGTTTTGTTTTTTTGCTTCAGACCTCACTTTTGGTTAGACATAGGAGTATACTATACCTCCATTTAACAACTACTTACATCATTAGTTTAGTGGTTGTCACTTGGACTTCTATTTTTCTGTGTTGTTGAGAACTAGAACTGGGGAGATGTTCTTCGGTTATATACCGAATGGGTAGCACAATGCCTACCTCCCATAACGCACAAGCAGTCATTGAGCAGTGAATCAACACTCAATTACTTCTGCCTTCAAAGTAGAAGCTGACTAAATATTAATTAACGTATTATGTCGCGCGTGATGACCCTGCCTACATGTGTTTAGTTCGGCATGGGGCAGGTTCACTGGCAAAAAGTCCTTGTATTTACACGAGACCCTGCAGTCGAACTAAAGAGTGGTTATATTCTGTTTTAAGTGAAGAAATGTGTTGTAGCCTAATGGTGCCCATCCTCCTCTTTCTCACCATGTAACCCAAGCCTAACTAGCCTGTATGTACTTCACAAGACACTACTAGTCAATCCTTATGCAGACCCCACACCGAGCCACGATGGTAAACTTTCACCAGAATTGAGTTTGAACCTAAATACTCTATTTAATAGTTTCAAGTTGTTTTGGCTTATTAGCTATATTATTAGTTGGTTTTAGCTCAAGCCTGGAGACGGAGTTTACTTAATTGCACGTTGAGACATGTATTCCTTTCAACTGTGTAGTTGACAAGCTTTGCGATGTACCACTTGGCCCAGAATTAGAGCAACAGAAGATGCACTCGCCAACGCCACGCGCCAACGCATATATTACATGAATACCCTGCGCTCGGTGTGCTTCATGAACATTGTCTTCATCATTACACCAATCTTATAGTTTCAAGCCTCAGACAGTGATGCTCCTGAGTGGGCTATTAATTCTGCCAAGGTTAGCTTGCATCTAGTGTTAAGGTTGTAAAATGTATTATAGTCAACCCCTGTTCCACAACACACTCTTTCCATCCCTAGTATTAATCCAAGTGTACTATGAACGTCAGACAAGTCCTATAAGCACTTGGAAAGGCCTTCACTTACCTCCGTACAGCAAGGCTTGCCATCCCCAACTGTAACAGCCAGTAAATTCGCCTCGCTCCAAACAGGGCGAAACCCGGCATTCTCAATGCGTTCCCACCAATCTGCAAACTGACTGATCCTCGGCCCCTTGTCGGGAACATGGATCTCAATAACAAGCTGTCCAATCGGGACTTCCTCCCCTTCTCTATCCCCGCCTCTGCTGAATTCTTCCAGGAAGGACTCGAGTGCGGGAAACTCATCGCCTTCGATATCCATCTTAATGAGGTCCACATAATCGTGACCCAACTTCTTCATGATGCTCTTGATGCTCAGAAACTCCGTGTTGTCCTTCTCATCGTAAAAGTCGTACCCCGCTACGGCAGTCTTGAGAAACTGCGTCCGGTTGGGATAGTCTTGTTCCAACCCCGGCTCCCACCCGTCAACGGTATCATCGAACCCCCAAACCTCGGCCTTGGTTGAGCGGTTGAGCATTTCAGCTTCAAAAGACGAGTCATCTCCAACCCCAAAACTGTACACGCGAAGCGGTCGGGCGACCTTCTCGTACTTGCTCATGCCACAAATCCACTTTCCGCCGTCGCCCAGTGTACCAACTCTCTGGACATCCCAGGGGCAGGTGTAGGTCGCAGGGAAAAAGTCCCAGATGGTGTACCAGTAGAGAAAGGATTCATCTCTAGGTGTGAATCTGAAATTTTTGTTAATACACATGGACTATATTTCTCGGAAAGCAAACCAGGCCAAGGGCGGCAGTAACTGACAATGTTCCGTCATATTTGCGATTCTTCTCCATCCAATCATGGCGTCGTCTGACGGACCTCAACCACGAAGCCTCAGAAGTGGCTGCTCGTGCTAGTTCTCCAGCGTACTGATCATGCTCGGCAGATGTCAACGACTTCCACAAACCGTTCAGGGTTGGCGTAAGAATGTAGAGAATGGCAATTGGAAGAACAAAGAAGATAGTGCTCGGACCGACCCATCGGCCATGCGCCTGAGCTTTGGTAGGCATCATGGATCAATAGGGAATTGGCCAAGTCTCCAACCTATTTCCTTTCCGAACACCTTCGGTTCAAGTCACAATCTCGCAAGGTCAACCAAATGTTATCTTCACATACCATTTATAAGTCCCCCAATGAACGCGGCTCCAACGGACTTGAATCATCTGATCCGCATGCTAGTTCTAGTAGCATATTAAATAAGGTTTTCCGAGACCCGCAACTGAAACAAGATGCGTAGAACCACTGCCGATATAACTGGGCCTTGTAACATTCTTGCCACGAGCCGTCCTTCAGACGAAAGCAAAACAATGGAATCCACGGTCGATGTTTACTCTGGTTGATCCACGCAGCTGCTGGCGTAATCAAAAATATGACTGGTTGTGGGTGAAGCAATTTGGAGGTTCACCCCATCTTTAGGTGTCTAATACCGTCTAAAGATAATGGGATAGCTTTCGAAAATAGAGCAGCTTTCCCACGACAATGAGTTTAATAGTGACACATTACCCTTTCTCAACAGTCGAAGTCAATGACAAATGCCCATTTGATAGTTCATTTGGTAAGCCGGCTGTTTCTTCCGTCACCATAGTAGTAGCGTGGATCGCCAAAGGGCACTTCTCCAACTCGTTCAGTAAATAAAGTTCAGGGCGGGCGAGCCCAAGGCGGCGGATTGTTTCTCGGACACAACGTACTTCCCGTAGAGTGCGTGGCTAGGGAGCCCAGGGTGACAACGGGAGCGAGTCAAGTAAGTAGTAGATCCTACCGCTTGCATTAGCACCTGCACGCTGTGCAATAACATCATTTGTGGGTGGCAGGCCTCGCCGGCCCGTCACGTGGGCTGACGGCCGCCACCACTGGTCTTAGCCAGCCTCCACAGCCCTCTAGCCAGTTAGTTAGTTCTTCCAACCAACAACACCACTTTTCCCATTCTGAGCGTTCTGTGCCGGTTCTCGCCTATAGGTTGTGAGCCTAGGGTTATTCTTTCGGAATAACGTCGTTTTACCTATTATTCTACTCGTTTATTAATTTTCTATTGATTTACGAATTTTTGCGATTTTATTTGCTTTATTTACCTTTCTATGCGATTTTCTCGCCTTATTTTCCTTTCGCTAACGAATTTCACTTTCTGACGCGATATTAACTGCCTAGCGCGCACGAATATCACGTAGCACGCGACCGACTATTATAACCTACTAGTTTTTATAAACACTATAGAATTCTATTATAATAACAAACCTTTTAGTTATAACTATACTTTTACTTCGATTTCCTCGTTTTTATAAGAATTTAACTATTTTTAGCTTTAGTGTAGGTTTCACAGGGGGTGAAACAGGGGGTGAAACGGAATTCCGTTCGTCAATAACAAATAACAGTAAATTGGTTCTAATCGATGGTTCATGATGATAGTTGAAAGTGGTGTTGTTGACTAGAAGGTGGGGATATTCCCCCTTGGCCTGTCACGTGGGTCTGGGAGGCTTGGGCCTCTCAGCCTGGCGGGCGTGTGGCTGGAAGTGCCACACGGCTCCGTATTCCAACTATCGCAACATTTAGTTTTTTAAACTAGCTTATTAGTTTCTTATATCTTCTATAAGTATTTATTCTTCCCTTCGATTTACTATATTTCTACGGTCGGATCTTATAATTCTATTTATTTCTCGTATTCTTACGTAAAATTCTCCTTCTTATATAATATTTATACTTTTTTAATACTATTTACTTATTAATACTTTCCCTTTCTAATAGTATATATAGGTAATAGCGAAAGTAAGCTATCTAACGTATAGACACGCTTCTAAAGCTACGGCCTCGGAGAAACGCTTGTAATCGAGGTGTGACTATAAGTCTGTCCCGTACTATTGTAATACCCTTACTTTTAAGATGTTTTAAAACGACTTTAAGACCGTCTTTACGCTTCTTCCTTGCTTAAAAGGTAAATCTAACTAGAATATATAGCGTATGCTTATTATAGCGACCTTGCGAGGATATAACTTTAAGATATTCCTCGAGACTAACGTCCCTCGCCTTGCTAACCTTATCGCTATAGAGGAATAGAGAAAGAACCGTAACGTTACGTATAGTCTCCTTATAAACGCTAGCGAATCGGTTCTTAATAGACTCTATATAGCAGGTTAGGTTAACGATAGAAACCTTTACGAATTATAGCAAGCGCTTAAGAAGTATATTCCGAGAATCTTATAAGACGCTATAGCTACCCTTGTTAACAAGTTTGCTAAGACTACTACTAACGATTATAAGACTCTTTACGATACTTTTAATCGCTATTACTACCTTAGAAAGCATATTAAGACTATTTACGGTCGTCTGCTAGACTCCTTCCTTGCTATTTTCCTCCTTAACTTCTTTAAAGACCGACTTCCCGATATATATAAGTATTTTATATCGAAGGGCGCTACCTATCCTACGTAGAATAAGGTAGCTAATACGATTTATATACTTACTTAAGACGAGGATTAAAAGCATAGTTATACTACTATTCGCAATATACCTAGAGGCAAGTCTGCTAGTAGTAAGGGTCTTGTATTATAACCCGTTTGTTACGCCTAATAGAGGGTTAACAGACCTACTTAGGCTAGCAGCTACGCCGCTAGATATATATAGGATATATAGGAAATAATAAGTTACTACTAGAATAGAAGAACTATTATATAGGTTACGTAATGATAAGAAGGTAAGTATTGATAAGGAATTAGTAAGCGCTTACGCTAAGATAAGTAAGCGCTTACGATAAGCAGGGTAAGCGCTTACTAAAGCTACCTAGAATACTTACTTTAAGACTTATATATAGACTAAGACCTAAGTACCTACTTAAGACTTTTAGATAGTTCTTTAGTAATTAACTTATAATTTATCCTCGATAACTTTTAGCTTAGCTTATAGTTTATAATATTACTATACCTTGTTACTTAGTATAAGACTAATTACCTTACCCTAACCTTTAATCTATTAGTATAATATACTTATATATAACGTAAAACCTATTATTAATATTATAGCCTTAACTTCTATTAATAGAAACCTTATTATTACTAGCTAGCTATAATACTTTAATTACTCCTATTTAGTAAGTTAACCTTGCGAAACTAATAAATAATACTTTCGACAAGATGTCTTTATCTAGCACTACTAAAACTCCTACTACTTTTCCTAACTCCTCTAAGGGGAAGGTACCTGTTAAGAACCTTGCTTAAGAACTTAGAAAAGAAGAAATAAAGGACGTAAAAGAAGAATCTAAAAAAGAAGAAGATAATAGTAATAAAGAACTTTAGCGTTAGGTTTATAAGAATAACCGTAACGTTAAAAGACTTTAGGAAATATTTAATTCGAACGCTATAGTCTTTAAGCAACTTTAAGCTATTATTTAAAACTTTAAAAAACGTATGTTACGACCCGTAAACAAGGATAACAGCTGAACGACCCACTTGGGCGTCGGGCGGCTAGAACAGGACATTTGTACTGCAGGATCACGGGAACAACAGGGACTCACTCGGGAACGGAAGAACTATGGTACAAGTCACGTGATGATAAGATAAGACTGAGCAGGTAGTATGGGTCACTGAGCGCTCAGTCAGAGCTACTGAGCGCTCACCAACGATCACTGATCGCTCACCGGTACCTGATCAGTGATCAGCGACAAGACATAGGGACTGTCCAGGACTTGTATATAGTATGACCTGAGCTCGGCCCATGGTCAGACTTCCATAGCTCTTCAGCAATCAACTTTGTATTCATCCTCAGGATACTTTTGTTACGACCCGACAGTTAACAGACCACTGACGACGACCCCGCAGGGGCTCAGCGGTTATAGGGACGGCCGTCAGCCGTTACGTCGTAACAACCCCCACGGAACGGAAGAACTAGGATACAGGTCACGTGACGATAAGCAGGACCGACGGACGATAAGCGGTCCTGGGACAGGACCGACGGTGCCAAGGGCGGTCCATCAACAACAGCGAGAACGAAATTTTTGAAAACAGCATCAAATTGATCAAACCACGCCCGCTCGCGCTCTCAGAGGTCACTTTGGGCATAATGTCATCCTCGGCATTGATTCTGCTCCCAAAGAGCCTGCTCGTGGCCGCGGGCGGGCTCTGACCACGAAAAATTCGAGAGCAAGCCACAAAGTATGACACGTCAATAGACAACACCATCGACACCACCGCGGTTGAGTCACGGGCTATCACGTGAGCACAACGACCAAGCCCAAACAAACATCAACACCACAGCCACCGATAGGTTATGGGTCGCCTATCACCCCCGACAAAGTTTGCAACGTCCCGCGACAATAACGACGACAAGCCCGACAGAACGGTATCACCTCCTGCATAGAGAAAGCACCAGACACCAGGCATGCTACGATCGATGCCATAAAATACTACAGTTTGCAGACAGATTAGTCCCCTGTCGCCCCCTCCGCGAAGAAGGATTGTCGCCCCTTCAACGTATGATAATGTCTGCGGAATCTGTGTACGAGCTCTTATACTTAGTAATCGGACGAATCGAAGCGGTTGGAGCATTGTGTTTTGCGGATTGAGTCCGACTCTAGGCGGTGGATGGAGGTGGTGGTCGAAAGATGGAAACATAGAGCCACATAGGAACCCAGCATGAGGCAACAAAAAGATTTATAGATTCAACTGAAATATAGCATATGCGAGTCTGAGAGGATGCGGACAAGATAAAGAGACGAAGCTGAGGGCTGGGGGGAGACTATAGGTATATAAAACTAGACATGGTGCCTAGCACTAACAGAACCGAAGTAGGAGGACGCGAAAGAAGGATTCTAGAAGGCAATACTAAGCGAGAGAGCAGGCAGGAGGACAACAATCTTCAACAGAGGGCATAAACACACAAGAATAGATAGCATAGTGGGAGCTTGGGGACAGCTGGTCCTGATCCAACAACAGGGCGAAGTGGGGCGTCGCGGTTTATCGTCGATGCTTCGGCTGTCTGCCAAACCCCGCTTTCCGGGCATAGCTGCTAGCATAAGAGCGGCTTCATA